TCCCACCAACAGGATAAGATGATTTTGCCAAATTAGTAAAGTTTATTTCTTTTTTTTCCCCATCTTTATTTTATAGCAAGTAGCTAAAATTTCTGTATGTCATTTTCTTTCTTGTCTTTTGTAATTGTTACTGTACATATTTCTGCACTGTTTCTCGTCTTTGGAATATTAAATATAAAATTAATAGGTTGGTCTTCTGTGTACTAAGAAAATAATTCATAAGTTCTAGAGAGACTTGTATTGTATTAGCAGTGCTGGTAAGCTCTGTTGTAAGTTTGTTTCTAATCAGTTTGAGATTGCTTGTGTTGCTGTACCCTCGTGTTTCCTGTAATTGCAGTAGTAACTGACAGAGAATGAACCCGCCAATCTGATTGCATACAGATTAGTGTAAGTGTGTGGCAGCCTTTCTCTCTGCCACAACCAGGGACACATGTCATTGCCAATAACAGAGATATGTGCGTTCCTAGCAGGCTAGACACCTGACAAACTGCAGATGGTGGCATCTACAATGGTCTCATGTTAATGTGCGTAGCTTATTTCAGTTTCAGTTGTTTCCTGTGCCCAGATTGGGAAACATTTGGTTCTCGCTATAACTTGCCAGTGTGCTTGTGAATTTCTGAAGACACCCAACTGATGGCGATACCTTATACACTGTCTGGCCTCTTGGCCTCTCTTGTCTTTGTACCCTCTATACTACCATTCATGACATTTACAATGCCATGATCCAACTCTTCCTCCCCAGATCGCCAGATGCTCAACCTTGTGGAGCGGGGATTCCAGGTATGAGATCCCCCATGTGACCAATCACCAGGCCCAAAACATAGTCACATGGGGGGCCATGATGTCACCCCCCTGTCTGAGCTCCAACACTAGCCAACACTGGAGCTTAGATAAGCTGAAATGCTGCACTGGGGAGTCAGCAAGAGAGTGTGACTGGGTTAGTATACATGCCTGAGGAGCAGGTTATCTGCGACTGTCTCTCTAAAGTAAGCCCATGCTTTGCTCATGCTGCTGTGTTCACCTTCATGGGCAAAGCAGGGCTTTACTTCATTTTCATATCATTTTATTTCAAGATGTTTACATATGATAGTGTTACATTACTGTGGTGTGTATAATACAAAGCGACTACATTACATTGAACAAACATTTAAAAGTAGAAGGTGAATAATGATAACTGTTCTAAGCTAGGCAGCCTTTTCTGAGATTTCTTCCCAGAAGACTTTGTAGCTGAACAGACACCACTGTTTGTTGTGTGGGGTTGTTTTACATTTTTTTTCTGACCATTTAAATGGCTCATAAGTGTGTTTTTGTGTTCGCTTGACTGAACCAGAATACTAAATCAAGGAACACTATAGTACTTTGTCATGCTGCATTATCAGGGGACTGTTCATGTAAACCACATCCAATAAGGATGACTGGATAACTTATCCCATCTGTCTAGGTTGATTCTACCAATCATCACGAGTCTTTATGAGAACACATTTTGATAACATGCTGATGAATGAGACTTGGTGTTGAGTTTGTGCTCTGTTCTGTAATGGATCTCCTCACTCTTTGTGATATGTTTCTGTGCTGGCTGAAGGCTTGTGCCTTGTCATGCAGTGTTAAGTGTTATGTGATGGGAGATGAGCAGATATACAGGTCTTCCTCTTACACATCACTCTACACTGCTGCATTCCATTATGGTGCACTGTATAAAGCCGGCTATACACTAAGCAAATTTCCGATTGTCCATGCTGAATCTGTCAAATTCGCTCAGTGGTTGGCCCTGTCTGCTGGCCCCCGTCTGACATCCTTCAATGGTAAAAATTTGAAGGAAATAATGTGTCGTGAGCAGCTCCTGAGTAGATGGTGCCACACCCCTAAATGGGTCAAAAGAAAACGAGTAGGGGATTGGGGGCTTTTTAGTCACCAAAGTGACACACCCAATAAATTGCAAGGCATTTCATATATAAAAAATATATTTTATTGGATAACAAAGCATTAAAAAGGCCATCAAGTTAAAATAAGGATGCTAAATCCTAAAAAGCAGATTACCTCCACATACCACTTTATATATTCATGATTCAAGCATGTTAGTTCACACAAAACATGATTGGATAATTTCTACAAATCTGGCTTGCGAGTTAGACATAGAAATGTCTACACAATAAAGAAATTGTGGGTATCAATACCATCAATGAATATGCTTATGAAATACTATTTTTATATATGAATTAACTTGCAATGTATTGGGTGTGTCACTTTGGTGACTAAAAAGCCCCAATTCCCTACTCTTTTGTAAAAATTTGAAGGAGCCGGGTGGAAAATTGTTGGTTGGCATTGCTATCATCCAGTGAGATGCAGGCATTGTTAAACAATCTTTAAAGCATACGAGGCCGATGGTCAAAATACAATAGCCACAGTTGGAGATTCCTCAACAACGTGGATGGAGGAAGGTGATCAGTTTTTTTTGCTTCAGCACAAAAGCTTAACGAAAAAAATCTTTAAGTGTATACCCATCTCTTGCTGAGTAAGGTATTGGTTACTAAGAGTTAAATTCACCTTCCACCAACATAACCAGGGAGAAATGAATTCCAATCTTCTTGCCATAATTAGCTTTTTATCTGCTAATTACATTTTCCTCCCGATAATCTCTTCAAATTGGTTGTTAAACACTTCCAGTATATTCATATTGTGTTTAAAAGCAAAGGATAATAAAAAAAATTAATTCCAAATTACATGACATTATCATATATTAATCTTCCTAAATTAAAGGGCAACTCCACACAGAGCTGACATTTTTTGTTATGATTGATAATAAAGCATTGACTCAGCTACTGACTTTTTAGATCTAGTCAGCTGCAAAGCGCAGTGGCCATGAGAACCAATCCTTTTCCACCTTGTGCTTGTCTGATTTTTCTGGTTAATGTTGGTTACTAAATTTGTATTTATTATTACAGGTATTTATATAGCACCGACAATTTACGCAGCACTTTACCTACCCTCAAGGAGCTTACAGTCTAAGGTCCCTATCTCACATGCATAAAAAGAGGGCCAGCTTAGAGAGGAGCCAATTAACCTACCAGCATGCCTTTGGAGTGTGGGAGGAAACCAGAGCAAGTACAGGGAGAACATGCAAATAGTGACCCTGGCTGGGATTAGAACCAGCAACCCCCAGTGCTGCAAGGCAGAAGTGCTAACCTCTACACCACTGTGCTGCTAACTAAATGTGCCACTAAATGTGCCACTAAATGTGCCACTAAATGTGTTCTTTTCTCTTTACATTGTTTAGTAAACAAGACTACTGTCTGTGTTACCCTGATCTAGAGTATTCATAAAGTATCAAGCTGCTGGGATATATACTATACAGTATTAGCAGACAAGGAGAGGGAGAGACAACTGTAACTGATCAGATAACAATGATGTGCCTGCAGACACATGTCCTAAGAATACCTTAAAGTGTATGTGCATCCAAAAAATGTTTTGTTCAGTTTTGGATAGAGTTGGGAAAGATTAAAACCCTATTAGTATTAGGTCAAAGTGTCGCCATTGTAAAACTTCTCCTCACCTCTTGCCTCTTGTCTGTCTAGTGACAGACCAGAACATTTTTTGCCCGCACCTGAAATGCATCGCAATGTATTCCTATGGTATATCTGGGGTCTGTTCACACCAGTACAGTCGGTTCTGGTGCGGGGAGAAAAAATGCTGCATGCACTATTTTCCTGGCCTGGAACGCACCAAAATGCATGTAAACACATAAAAAACACATCCACATGCACTGCAATGCACCTGAAAGCCCATTTTAAGCTAAAAAAATATACAAAAATGCACTGGAACGCGTAACAAACTACACTGCACCGCATTTGCAGAAACGCACCCAGATCTGGTCCGGACATGGTGTGAACAAGCCCTAAAGGAGTTGAAGAATTTCCACTTTCTTTCTTCATGGCATTGGTCACCAGGCCACCATGCACTGCACCAACAATGGCCAACCAGCCTCAAACAGCTATATGCAGTTTGAAATAAAAGGCTCTATAATACTAGAAAGAAATGATTTGCATGGCTTCATTCACTATTTTAACACGACCTATTAACCTCTCATTGTTTTAATATGTGATGTAAGTGAGACAAATGCATTCTGTTTTAAAGTAGAATTACACTTTCCAACTTTGTTTCAATAATGTATCCAGATTGAACAAATATACAGATATATATATATATATGTTTGACTGTAATGGCTGTAAGTGGAGACTGTTCAAAATCTCTCAGCTCGACTTTCCTGAACTTCCTATCCAGTACAAGATCACAAGGGTCTGAGCAGTTTCCATCTACTAGCATGTAAAAGGAAGGACAAGTGGAAAGCAGGTTAGTGTATTGCTAGCCTGTGTGTTTGTGGTGACATGCAGCTTACCAGCACCCACAAGGATGACTCCATAGGACCCTGCAAGGGAATGGAACCGCCCTAAAACAGGCTATCGGAGCCAGTGCTCAAGAGAGCAACTAAAACTAAAATCAGAAACTAAAACTTTGAAACATCAAGGTGCAGCATTGATTGCAAGTGAAATAGCATAGTACTCAGCATTTGAAATAGCTTTAAAATCTTTTGATGTTACTATCACTTTAAGAAGGCTCTAGTTTGTTTTGCAACATGTTGCGAAATTCTGCATTCATTGAAGGATTCCTCCTTTCTCCAGAATGCAGAGATCCTTTCACTCTGTATGAGAAGACTCAATGTGTCTTTTGCAGTTCAGCAGCCTCAGTGATAAAGAAGTAGATCACTCATGTTCTGTCATTCTAAATGAGAGATTCCATGTTTTTAGTGATAACAAGTCCAACCCTCCGAGTGACTTAGATTAGAACCACAGGTGTGTCCTGCTAGGAATATATTAAAGTATATCTATGATCATGTTAAATGCATTGTTTATTTTCTAATTAGAGATGACAGTTTACAGTAAGTATGGGTTATTAAATGTATTGTGTCATTGGGTAAAACGTGTTTGTGTTTTGTTTCTATACAGTACTGGCTGGACCCTGCAAAGACAATCGCTGAACACAAAGACCTGATTAGCAGTAAGTACATTACCCCTGACTCTTGTATGTTTTGAAACTCTCATTATCTCCTGTGATGTGTACTATAGGAGACCCCATTGTTCAATTTAAGCTTAAGGTGAGTAGATCTTTATATGAGAACTCCGGGCCAAATTTTTATTAACCTTCGCAGTGTGGCTACCCCCGTACTGCAAGGATTAACTGCTCGTGTTGGTCTGGGGGGGGAAATAAAGTTATACTCACCCAATCCTCTGACCTGGCCAGCTGGATGTGACAGCGTTCCCTCCAGCTCCTCTCCTTCTCAGCTGCAGCAATGGAATGTCTATGGGCATCCTCATGTCCTATTCACTGTGTATAGAATGTGATGATCCAGGGGCCTTAGACCGCTGGAGCGGATGGGGAGCGAGGCTGGAAGGACTGGTCTTGGAGCAAGCTGGCTCGGAGGATTGGGTGTGTATAACTTTGTTATTTTCCTCCCTAGACCAAAACGAGCAGTTAACCCTTGCATAATAATATAAATTTGGAATTTTTTATCAGAAGTGACCATAAAAACTTATGGCTGAATTTGCCAGACGTAAGCAAGCAAAACTAAAGCAAACCTCTGAATTGTGCATGGAGACATCAGACCTTGACAGATGCAGTAAATTTAATGAAATATCAACCAGCCATGGGTGTTGTACTATATGTATCACAGCATGTCTAAAACATCTGTTACAATTGCCTAGATGAGTTGCATTTGCCACCAGTTGCCCAACATCTGGATTTCCTATTCTTCAGTGGGAAATCCAGGTCTCAGGAACATAATGCAGCAAGTGTTTACAATTACCGGTCCCAACTTTTTCACAAAACTCCAAATATACAGTACTGAACATTTGCATGACAAAGCTGTACAGCCACATGAGAAAGTGAGTACACACCATGAAAATTATTTTCTAGTTCAACATACTGTATGTGAATAGGCAAACATTAGATCTTTATTCTAACAGTGTCTTCAGATAAAGGTGTACAGTATACTTGAACACATGTATCATTTATTCATTTATGGAAGGCGTGCGACCGTTTCTACTGTACGGTTGCACAACTTTTGTTAACCCCGATCTGGCAGAATCAGGTCCAGCAAAATGTAACTCTGATCTGTTTTTTTGGACCTGGCCGGATTCGCGTGTAAGCGGGTGTAAACAAATGCCCATCCATTTGGAACCGGCTGCCCATAGACTAGCAATGGGCCATGTGAAAGGGGTCTAAGGGCTAAGACCGACCCAGTCAAAACCCTGATTTGAATCCCAGTGGAATGTTGGAGAAGGGGTTAAATGGGCAGTTCATGCAAGGAAACCCTCAGGCATCTTCTAGCTGAAGGAATTTTTCATGGAGCAGTGGTCAAAAATGTCACCGAGTCAATGTCAGAGACTGGTTGGAAGTTTACAAAAAGTCAATTCTGCTAAAGGGTTAATAACAACTTTTGAGCCCAAGCTTGTACTTACTTTTTTTCTTCCAGTACATCATTACATCTATTGATATTTTTGTTGAATAAATGATTTAAAAGGCAATTTTCCATTGGGTTTGTATTCATGCATATCACTTGTATTTGTAGGCATACGATCCAATGATCGCCTTTTCAGATATGTTGAAAAAACAACAATTTCCATGGAGTGTACTCCCTTTTTCACATGAGTATAAATATATTTGCATTCTTTTGTTGGCACGATGGAGACCCCAAAAGACTGTAAATATTTTCACACAGAAAGGGTTGGTGTTTCTTTAAAACTCTAAGAAGCTTTTGTTAAGGGAACATTTTAGGTTGAAACACTCTTTCTGGTGTTTCGCTTTAAACATATAAGGGTCTATTTATAAAAACATTTGCATAGTTTACTCATCCAGTAAAACTGCAGGTACATTCATTCTACAGGTACATTCATTCTGTATGAGTTAACTAGGTATTATTGTGTGAAAGCGGGAAAAAAACAAATGTTCATATTGTATTTTCTTTTCCGATTAAATGTTCTTTGATAGGTTAAATGATAAAGAACTGAAGGGGAAATACCACATTATGGCCACTAGATGGAGCTGATGGTCATAGGAAATAAACACTTGTTTGTAATGAGATTCAATGTTACAATTCTAGAGGCAGCTGGAGAGAATGAGCATATAAATGTAACCATTGCTACTAGAGCGATAGCAGTGGTTACACTGCTATGCTCATTCTCTCCAGCGTTCTCTTGAATTGTAACACTGAATCTTGTTACATGTAACACGTAACATGTATTTTTTATGATTCCTAGCCCCATCTGGTGGCCATAAAGTAGTATTTTCCTGATTCACTCTGTTCTTTACCTATGTGAACCTATTGAATAGTTGACCAGAAGAGAAAATGCACTACGAACATTTGTTCTTGCCCCCTTCTCACAGCAGCCGGTTAACTTACATATAATGTCAATGCAGTTTCGCTGGACTAATAAGCTATGCATTTTTTTTTATAAACAGACCCTATACTGTTTTCATAAACTGATTTTTATCAATAATTTTGTCTTGAAGCTTCAAAGTTGATATTCACTGCACTTTTTTAGCTGTGGACACTCATTTGCATACAACAGCATTTGCCCCCTGGACCCTCTGTCACAAATATCTGATCCATGGGGCAAGAGTCCTAAAGAATGTGGTCAGATCCAGCTATGAAATTGGATTTAACTGTTTTAAAAAATGTCCCTATATTTTATTGGAAACTTGATTCTTGTTTTGCTTACTTGTTCAGTCATGTAATATTTATTAAGTGCCAGATATTGATATTGTCAAACAAACAAATAAACAATTTTCAGAGCCATTCACCCTGCGAATCTGTGTGAATATTCATTCTGTTCGAATAACAGCTAAAACAAATGTCCTTAATATGTTTTCTATTTTGGTTGAATGTACACTGTTTATAAAGGCAATATTCAGTGCGGGCATGTCAGAGAGTTGGGCAGCTGCTTATGTGTGAAAGCTGCAGTCTAACGCTCCTAGTGCTGCCAGCACAGAGTTTTTTTAAACCCTACTTCAAAACTAAACTGATAAAAAAAAAGTAAAAAGGAGACATCATTATTGCTGTATTACGGTAATAAATTAAGAGGGTTCAATTGGGCTTCAAGGAGAGTATGCAGAGATTGCACAATCAGGTTCCATTGTGTATTGGCTATTATTAGTAATTACTTGCTCTCACTGTCCTCTCCTTAAGTAACATTGCCTGCCACCATACAGTACTTTCAGTACATCAGAGCCTAATTGACACCTAGTGTTGTTCCTCCCTCTCCCAGTCCCTTTATGCAGCAGGGTGATATAAGGTACAATATGCTGCAATTTAAAGGCCAACTCCACACAAAAAGCATATAGGTGTTAAAGCAGTTGAAGACTTGGTTGCTACCTCCTGTGATGAAGGCTTTAATCTACATACCAAAAAAAAGTATTGTTTGCATGTCTGGGTAAGTACAGCTCTTGGTTTACTTATAGTAAACCAAGAGCTGTACTTACTGTACTGTACTTATAGTCCGCTCAAATGTAAGTGATGCTGGTATCATAGTGCTATGGTCGTGTCTCCTCCCGGCTAGTCATGAAATGAAGCCTGAGGCTGTGAGTTTTGTGAATGGCCTCAAGGAAAGGACTCACCACAGTAGAGCTGGGGTCTATAAGACCTGCAGTGCTTTCAATCGAGCAGCCCGGATTCCCGGCATGTAAACAAGACTTTTTTGATATGTAAAAGAAAGCATTTATCACGGGAGGCAGATTTTAGGGCAATGAAATCTTCAGCTGCTTTATGTAGGCTTGTGAATAAGCAGTAACAATTGTTATAGCCACACGCCCTGCAACATTTTTTCCTCCCGCTGTAGTGCCAGCAGACACAGCCTACATGAGAGTGGTAACTATATGATTTCAGGAGCAGTGCAGCATCATTGCCACACCATCACAGCAAGCTGCATTAGTTAGACATCACTAGCAGGCTCAACAGGTATTTGTGGGTTTAGCAGGCGGGACTAAAACTATAAGTGCAGATACACCTATAATTAAGTGCTGCAGCACACATTTTTTAATGTGAGGCCATAGTTCTACTTTAAGTATACCACTTATGAGTACAAGTACTGTTTTTGGGGTAAATGGTAGGTGGTTGAAGTAATCACTAGCTTTGTACATCTTTATAGAGTGTAATACAGAAGGATTGATGCTCCTACTGCTGTTTCAGGAGTCATGGGACTGTAGGAGATGTTGTGTCAAAGGGAATTGTAAGTGTTTAACCATAACTAAAATATCAGCCTTTGGTGCATTGACCTTTTAAAATGAAAAGTTTCTGACATTCTGGACTTCTTTTATAAAACTCATGTCCCTAGATGGTGCTGAAGAGTATACAAAATTGCAGAACTCGTCATTGCCATTCAGGGGCACTAGTGCCATGTGAACGGTATAGACAGAAGGAAGTTTTATAAATGAAACCCATTGTGTTTTCCAGTAGCTACCAATAAGACCCACATTAGTTTTTCCATGTTGGAAAGAGAGGCGCTAATCTGGCAACAGTGGTTGTCTGAAACAGCTCTTTCCTCAGACACTTTGATAAATGAGCTCATCTGAAGATAGTATTTCATGTTTATCTAGTGTCTCAAAGGAACCATAAAGATTCAAGTCTTTACTGGAAAATTAAAACTGGAGATTAAAAAATTGGATTGCAGTGAATCAATACACTATTGATTATACACCATTCTACATCAAGACACTTACATGTCAGTTCCACTACAGCGTTAGTGTTGTGGTGCCTTAAAAGTGTCCAACATGTATGTACTATGACTCCTGATACAAACAGTATCTTGGCAGCATGATTGTGCAAGCAGAACTAGCCACCATCTAAAGGTTGTAGTTGGCTTTAGCCAGCAATCAATATAAGGGAAGGGGGGTGTTGGAAAGACCATGTGCAGCTGGAGACAGCTTATTTAGAGACAGAGACATGTTTTATGTAGTATGTAATGTGTTCGACTAATATATTTCTGTATTGTATTGAGCTGCAATGCTTAGTTAACTAGCATTGACTGTTTTAGGTGAAGTGTGTTTCTTTTGGCCTTCATACCTGGGAGTTTCCATCTTCTCTCTTGGCCATCATCTTTCCTATTGAAATTTGACTAGACTGTGTAATGCTTTTCTGTATATGTTTCACATAGGACCTTTTATAAAAAAAATTCCCTAGCTTTACAGTGCTTTGCTATATGACCTAAGAATAATCATTGTATTTTATTGCTGTATTTACTTTCAGCTGGCCCTCCATATACTCTGTATTTTGGTGTTAAGTTCTATGCAGAAGATCCAGGTAAACTAAAGGAAGAGATAACCAGGTAACGTATATGTATACAGCATAATGATATTTAAAAACATATTTTTTTCATTTTTTGCTTTATCTCTAAAGGTTAGATACTGTGCAATTAGAAAATCTAGAATTTTTTATTTGCTTATATTTCCCATAGGTAACAGGAAAGGTTGAGTGGCCAGAGAGTGACAGATGTGCATTAGATATGCCTAGATGCATGTTGTTCTCATGTTTGTAAATCAAAGGCTGATTGGGTTTTATGATGTTGTCTCATTAAACTCATTCTGCTTAATAATAATTTAATACTTGCAAAATTAAATAGTATCGTGCTTTAGTGCATAGTTTATTGGTTTTAAAGGAGAACTATGGGGTTAAGGCTTTTCACAAACTAGCGTCCTCCCGTCACCCTAGGCTCAGTATACTGCGAGCCGTAGCTCGCGGTATACTGAGACGCTGAAGCTGATCCCGACAATTGTGCCGGGATCAGCCCAGCTGCGTGACTGACAGCTGGCTCTGCCTATCTAGAGGCAGAGCCAGCTGTACCCGCCCCTCCCCCGTCCGTTCCCCCAGTTAGCGCTGACGGATTGGAGGGGGGAATCCAGCCCCTCCCCTGTCATGGCAGAGAGCCGTGACAGGATCGAGAGGTGAGCGAACGCCTGTATGTGTTCGCTCACCTCCCGATCTACTGAGCCGACCTGTGACAGTCTTATTGTCACAGGTCGGCTAGAACTATGAGGTGAGTGAAAAGCACTCACCTCATAGTTCTCCTTTAATGTACATTTGATACTTTGATCAAGGAATTTCAACACAAGAATAAACTGGTTACATTCACCTGGAGGAGGCGAGGTGACTGTAGATTGTACTCTGCAAATATCTTTGATACCAATAGCTATAAAAATGGGCCATGTAAAAGTTATTTTCTGCTTCAATATTTTTTTAACATTTTTCAAAAGTTAACAGTAACATTAAAAATATTATCACTAATACAGATTGGGGATTAACAAAGAAATAACATCATGTACAAGCAAGTGAAAAGTTGTTCATTGATTCAAGGACTTCTACTATTTTCTTCTACTGTTCAATTGCGATGGGTGGTAGAAAGCATTATTTCACAATTTGAAACCAGTGAAGGATTTATATTAATGATTACATGAATGTCTGAAGCAAGGTTAAATGAACATCTGCAAAACGGGTTGTAAACAAGATTGTTACCAAGCTATATTAGTTAAAGCCAATGATACATTGATTCGTTAAGTAAAAGGAACCTTGTAGCCAAAATGAACAGGGAAGTAAGTAACCGTAGCTATTGGGATGTACCTAATGTACTGTATTCAGATGTGGGGGTATTATTCAGGTGGGTAATAATGGTGAAAGTTATTTTAAATAGTTTATATACTAGAGTCATATAAACACGTTCATACCTGTTTATTTTACATTTGCTATCATTTTTAAATGTTCTGATTATTTTAGAGGTTTCTATTTATTACAAATATTTCCAAAATTCAACTGTGGAATTTATCTTTGCACTTATATACATTAATGATCTCTTTATTTACTTTTGGTCATATTAAATACCTTAATTGTATATGTTAAAGAGGGCACTTTTTTTTCTTCTAGGTACCAGTTCTTTCTGCAGGTTAAGCAAGATGTTTTGCAGGGTCGTCTACCCTGTCCGTTTAACATTGCTGCTCAGCTTGGAGCCTATGCCATACAGTGTAAGTACCTCTAAAAAGAAAATTACCATGGTAACTTGGAAAATATGTTTAAACTTCATGCACATGTTTGGTATCCTGTTGACTAACAACATTTTGGTACATTTTAGTATTATGCTGTCAACCATTTGAAGGGCAAAATACAGCATATTTTAAGCAAGAACAAATTATGAGTTTAAGTATTTGTGAAGTTATAAACTACATAAAATGTATGTACCAGTTAGGGAACACTAAGTTGTTCCACATCCACAAAAGCAACTAAAATCCACTATCAAAAAAATGTCAGACTTTTACAGTACCCACTTACACAAGATGCCATTATATAAAACAAACTTTATTGCTTAAATCTCCGGCAGTTCACTCGCTGCCATTCGCACTATTCTTATAGGGGCTGAACAGCAGTGAGTGAATAGCCAAATGCCATAGGGTTCCCACCCCAAAGTCATACCACCTTTAGGTCTGGTAGGAATTTTAAGGAGGAACCCCACCCCCAAAAATGGGGGGGGGGGGGGAAACGTGGGGTCCCCCCTAAAATTCCTAACCATACCCTTGATCCGGGCACAGGCCTGGCAGGGCACGAAAGGGGGGGGGGGGGGAACGAGCGAGTGCCCCCCCCCTTCCTGTGCCATACTAGGCTCACATGCCCTCGGTCCCCCCTGGAAAAGCACCTTGTCCCCGTGCCGATGAGGACAAGGGCCTCTTCCCCACAAGCCCTGGAGCGTTGATCCAACAAAGTAATCCAGCGTTTCCGACTCGCCAAAATAAAGAAAAAAAAGCCTGCCGACCTGTCCGCACCCGCCGAACACATGCAGCTAAATGACCTGTATGACAGCTGACGGCAAAAAGTAAACAAATGGTAAACCTATATGTTTTGATTTGGCTGGCACCTGTCATATGGGTCGGTCACATGAAAACAACTGGGCGGAGCCAGCCATGATGTCACAGCTTGCTACGCCCAGTTGTTGTCATTCAGTGACAGACCAGCAACCACAGGTCATTTGAGGACACTGGGCTGTCACTGAACGACAACAACTGGGTGGAGCCGGCCGCGATGTGACTACGGCTCTGCCGAACCGAAACATATGGGTTTGGCTTGGCTGACTCTGGCCAAAGCAAACAGGCTGGCTTTTTATTGCAATTAAAAAGACTTACCTGTTCACAATGTGCACAGGGCATGCCGTGCTCAGTGTATAATTTTAGCATGTGCTGTGAATGAACTCCCATGCATGCGCACAAGCTATGTAATCTGGGACCAGCCACTCACAATGGCCGAAGATCCCAAACCCTGAAGAAGAGCCATCAAAGATGACAATGCTGGCGATGGAGTCTGTGGATGATTATAGGTAAGTATAGCTCCAAAAAATTAGCTAACAGAAGCAGTAAGCATGAAGGCAAACATGAAGGCAGTACTGTTTTTTTTTTTAACTTAAAATTCCTAGCATGCTTTGAAAAGTGAGTGTCATGGAATAAGGCTGCAACTAACGATTATTTTCATAATCAATTAGTTGGCCGATTATTTATGTACTGCAAGCCCAAATGATAAAGTTAAAGCGGACCTTTACACTCAAAAATCAAGCTCTACCAATGCATCCCTCTATGTATGACGACTAATATAACACAGACATGTCAGGTGTAAAATGCCGTGATCACTTCCTGCTTCGACAAAATTACTTCAGTTTGGCAAAGTAATACACACTGGGATTGCCCTGTCATCAGCAGAGCATTGCTGGGAAATCTCATCTGTAATCTCATGAGATCTCAGGGAAAGGCATTTTCCTCCCCTGAGATGATGTGCATGGTCACATGTCCTAGTCACATGTCTAGTCATGTGTGCCAGAAATCCAGGAAGCAAAAGGAGATCTAGTAATCTGTCCTTAGTAAACATGGCCACTATCAGGAGACTGGGGAAGAAAAGAAAAATAAGGAATGCAAAGAACACAAAGCCGGCAATTATCTAGAAGTATGTGTTTGTAGATTGTCATTACTAAACATTTCTAAAGATATGTTTGTTGTTATTTTAAAGATATGGGTAATGGTCCGCTGTAAGAGAAAATGTTTTACAATATGTTTAATGCTTATATTTATTGATTTCAGTAGTGCTTACTTTAAAACGAACATATTCTGCTCTTTAAACGATGGAAAAAGTTAAGCCAGGCATATTACAATCTGATTGTACAATCTCCTTTGGATTTACCAACAAAGATGTAGTGCCAGGGCATGCCTTAAATGCACGGAGTCATTTCAGAATTGACTAATCCATGGGTGCCTCCTGATCAGTGGTGTATTCTGGTTGGGGATTGCCCTACGCAAGACAAAACTCGGCGCCCCCCCACACTAAATATAACCCACCCGGCTGTGGTCTCAGGTGGGCTCTGCAGGGTTTGTGGTGGGCTTTGCAGGCAGCGGAGCCCCTATGGATTCTGCAGAGCCCACCACAGATCCTGCAAAGCCCCCTGAGACCCGGCAAAGCCCCCCACAGATCCTGCAGGATCTCAGGAAGGCTCTGCAGAGTTTGTGGTGGGCTTTGTAGGCAGCGGAGCCCCCTATGGATTCTGCAAAGCCCACCACAGATCCTGCAAAGCCCCCTACAGATCCTGCAGAGCCAACCAAAAGGTATTGCACAGCACACCTGAGACTCTTTGGTGGGCTGTGCAGAATCTATGCTGGGCTCTGCCAGCACAGTCCTCTTACCTTGCACGGCCTGACCTCTGTGGAACACGGCCTCCTCGACGCCCGGCACGGCCTCCTTGTCCTCTTCGCCGCCCGACTGGAGCTCCGGCGACGCCTCCCACCTACTCCGTCGGTGTCTCTGCCATCTTCGCCCCCC